AAATGTTCTTCAAAAAGAAAAAGAACCGCCGAAGGAAGGGAATAGAAAGTCAAAAAGAGACCGTTGTTTTCATTTTTGGAGCTTTGGGTTTTTGCTTTGCCTTTGGCAAACTGGCATCATTGCTGCTTGCTGTGGTGCTCTGGTTTATTTACATTTTCCCCATCGGACCCATGAAATGCTCACAAAGTCTCCGGACACTCCACATTCTGAATACAAATGTTTGCAAAACTAGGACTTCGATTTTTATTGATATTTTTATTATTTATTATTTATATATTAAATAAACTCTTTAACTAAGTTTTGGTGTCAGAGGTTATGTGTCATCACCTTAAGTGAGGAAATTACATCAAACACTAACTATATAATAAAAATATATGTATTAAAATAATAATTTATTAGCCCTTTACTTTTCGTTTAAAATAAGATTTGCATTTATATTTTTTTTCTAAACTCACATTTGTGCTTTTCTTTTCTAATTTAAAATGTTATTTATTCAATTCCGTTCACTCCTTCTCACAATTGAGGAGCTAAAAGCGAAAAAAGTAATAAAGAAGTTATAATTGATTAAAATATTGACAAGAAGTTAAAACGTTACACTAATTTTAACATAATTAATCCCTATAAAAATGAAAATAATTCATTTTATCTTTCATATAGATTAAAATGTATAATCTTTCAAAAATATTATTTGTTTTTATCCAAATGTGATAATTGCTTTGACACGCAACTGTATGGAATAGAGTCCAAATTCCAAAAATACTAATTTGACACATAAATATTTAACTCAATAATAAATACATCAAATCTTTATTAAAAAAGTGAGTTCGAATTTCTATTTCTCAAATAAAAAAAATGTTGACATGCAACAATCAATTTTAAAGATATTATTATTATATTTAATATTTTTAATTTTAAAAATATTACTATCATATTTAATATTCTTAATCAAGAGTCATATCTTACTCTTATTTTAGATTCAAGCAATAATGAACTCAATTGCACGATTTAAACTAGCAAAACCCCCACTTTTTGTTATAGAAAATTATAATTTTGTTTTTCATTTAGAAAAATGTAAATTAATTCATTAAATTTGTATAGTTGATTTTTTTAAAAATATTTTAAAAAATCAGAAAAAAAAGGAAAGAAAAATAAAGAAGAAAAAAATGAAAACAAAAAAGAAGAAGAAAGCACCACATTGAAAAGAAATTATTTTTTTATCTTCTTTTTACTTTTTTTTGTCTGATTATTATTATTATTTTTTATTTCTTTGTTATCATTGTCTCTCCTTCACCTAAAAATCTAAAACTCTTTTACTCAATTTCAAATACGAAAATTGATTGATTAATTGTGTATGCGTGATTAATTTTTTTAAAAAATTATTTTGATTTTTATTTTAAATTATAATTATTTCCAAAATTCAAAGAATGTAAGAAAAAATTACAAAAAAATGAATTGGTTGATTAAATGTGTATAATTGATAATATTTTTTTCCTCTAAAATTATTTTGAATTATCACGTTTTAAATAAAGAAAGAAAGCAAACAGAAAAAGCACAAAATATCTCTTTTCATCTAATCTTAAATAAAGAAAACCCAAAGGCCAAAGGCCAAAGCCCAAATCCTTTTTCCTGCTGGCTCCTCATTCTTCAACCTCAAGGCTCGTGTACACATTTTAGCACGTGCCACCATATGTTGGTAGGGCCCTCCAAAAAAGAAATGCTTTATCTCCCCTTTGTTTTAGCCAATACCCTGTTTCAACTTTAATTAACAAGAAATACCAAAAACAAATGTATAATGTAAATATATATATCGAACGTAATAAATGTAAGATAATGTATTTAAATTTTTAAATAATATTATGTAAAAAAATTTATTTTCACATATAATTTTTTGTACAAATCAATTATATGTTGACATCTATTTATATGATAATCGATATTCACTTATGAAGAAAAGAGAAAAGAGGTTTCAACGTACGGATCTTCAAAGATACACAAATAATTGATCAAATGGAACATGAGAAAAAAAAAAAAAAGATTGATGGTTGGACTTGCATGTGTATACATTATTTGGTGGCCTGTGCAATTAGATTACCCACCGAGCTGGCCTGCTGATGTGCAATCTCCACTATGCAATCCTGCATTAATTATTCAGAACCAAGCCGTCAGATTGTCCTGAATTCAGATGCATCTTCACGCGAGTCATGCATAAAGGATGCTAATTAACTACTTATACCTGCGCATCTACCAAACGTAAGACTGTTCTCTTGCTTGATTCTTGAAGTTCACCCGCAATCAAAAGCTCATCCAATATGTAGTAAGCCTATGATTCTTGCAACTTGATGGTTAGAGAGACTCTTTGATACCAAGTGTGAATCAAAGAAAAACATGTTCAAACACTAGATATAATATAACCAATTTGGCAATAATTGATCCAATTTAATAAAGATGGATCTTTTCCCCTTGCCATATTTTGCCAGAATAATTAGTTCATGGAGAAAAGCTGTCCTAACTCGTTCAGTAATACTTTTGTGTGATCGATATCCTTAAATTTCATAACTAAAAATCAAACAAGAAGCAGATTTACAGAAAGTACCTTATGGAAGTTAAAGATCAAGTCCAGCTCACATACCTACAGAAAAGTACGAATAGTAAAGAATGCAAAGATCAGTTTTATAGGTATCAGATCAGAACATTCAAGTATGTATATATATATATATATATATATATATATATACTGTGTCTTCAATGACTAGAGGGTTTAGCAGGCTCACACTGCCAAAATAGCGGTCCAGTATCTCAACATAATGGTGAATTATATCCAGAATCTCTAGTTCATTGTCATCTTGGTTAATGCACATGCAAAAGTAGAGACCTGCATATCTGAGCATGATATCCCTACAAATTAAATTGATTACATATTCATGATTTGCCTTTTATAGATACATCGACATTACCTTTTATAGACAACTTTGAAGCCCCTCCACTCAACAAAGTTGCACAACTTGGGGCCTCGACTGAGTATTATCCCACTAAGCTCCCGGATCACCTTTACAAAGTTAACATCCACAGAAAGTTTCAGCACCCACGCAAGATCACAGGATCCAGGAGTGCAGACCAGCAAGAAGAATGTCTATCATTTATGAGCATGCTTGCATATAAATATATATGATGTATCAAAAACCAAACGATATATTCAGCTATGAATGGGTCTTCACAGAGAACTTTATTGCAGCCATCGGTCATGTGCAAGATGCTGCTAGTTTAAGAGAAGTAAAGTAGTGCAAAGCTGGGAGCTAACAGAACGAGATTATTGCTTCTATTCATTTCTATCACCACCGTATACGATAACAGTTGAGAAAAACTTATCAACTTTGAACGTACCTTACTTCTCTCCTTCTGGGAATAAGGTGAATACCATTTCGTCAACCTGACCTTTCCTTGCCGGCTAACAAGGAGAACAAAGTGAATCTGGAACAAGTAGTGCACGCAGTTAGACTTACAGCACAACGTGCCTCGAAGACATACAACACAGGACTATCAGGTTTATATATATAAACCATTTTATAGTTCCATGTATATTTGTGGCATTCTATATATACGGTGAATTGAGTTACCAGGAGCTAAAATCCTGAAAAGTCCTCCTTCAGCTCAACGAATAAAGGTTGAAGGGCCTAAAGGTTTGGGCATAGCTAATATGTATGCTAGGCCTGTTTCTCTATTTTCAAAAACATTGAAACACTTGAGGGTTGTCCTCCCTGAGTGTACCATAGAATCTCCTGCTCTATGTGCAATTATAGAGCTTTTCTACAGTTTTTTTAGGAAAGCAACATTAGCAATAACAGATGATGATGACAATGCAAAAGCATAGCGCACCAAATGCAAGATCTGATCTGAATGAGTCCAAAAACCTACAAAATGAACAAGATACGAATCATACCATTGCTCAAAAGAACAAGTTTTCAAGCTTGAACCTTTTTCAGGTATGACAGGATCTACACTTGGTTTCGGAGAAGATGAATTACATTTTTTTTTGGGTCAAATTCGATTCTGTGTTTTTGGGTCAAACACTCTCTTCTATCTCGGAGCATAAAAGGGGGAAGGTTTTGAACACACGGTCCACTATAAAAGCAATCTATTTAGAATTTAGACGGCACAGTCATTGAAATAGTAAACAACAAGATTATCTCGGCTTCAATTTTGCTTTTGCATTTGCTTTGTGGCAGTAATTTAAGTACTTGTACTTCCCATATTCCAACCCCTTCATGCATAACCAATATATCCTTGGTTTAGGATTTGAATTGCTTGTTCCTATGACCCTTTCAGGCCTACTTAACCTAAGTTATCGGGATGACAGGAAATTCAAAAGATGAGGATCAGATTGTGGGTAGAGATGTTTAAAATTAAAAAATAAAGAAAAACTATAGATGCTGATGGCATCCATTTATACTACTAGCAATTCATGCCCACTGCATGTTTTACATGTAGTTTTAACGAAATGACTGCCAAGTGCCAACCTAAAATGCTAGTACAAGCTGAAAAACAAGCATACCAATCAGTGAAGCTTGCAGCAATAAACATGGAAGATTCATCAACTAAAACCAACAAAGATTTTACAGGTTTCTATTTCCAACAACTCTATACAGCTTATTACACATTCTATAAGGCAATTTACCAAAATAATTTGACATATTATTTTCCTATTATTAGGTGCAGAGGAAGGACTCATCAAACGCTCTCTCTTCTTTAGCCAGTTCTCCATGGATGAGATACCGAAAACTCGAACTTTGAGATAACCAGTGGATGTACTTGTCGGGCCGTCCCTTCATCAGTTTCTGGATAAATTCACGTTGCTCTTCTGATACACACTCGCTAACTATCTCCAATACATTCTTCATGTCTAGTAACATATCCTTTGCAAAGTAATAAAGAACTTTAGGAAGGAAAATTTTCACCTCCTTGTGGATGTAGACTCTAGAATGAATGAACTCTTCCATAGCAAGCTTGAGATCTCTAAATATGTTTTCAGCTGTGTATACTCGAACCTTGAGCATTAAGTTGTTTCTCATCAGACAATCTATACCTTCAAACATTCTATGACTGTTTAAATATAAAACTAATCTTAGATGCAAAGAGAAACAATCTTACCATTGGGTCAGAGTAGGCTCCCAAACAAAGTGCAAAATGAACAAGGGGCTCCGGGTATTCTAAGGCATACACATGTTTGGTGCTCGTTGCCTTAGGTTTCCGTCCTGGAGAAAACAGTGTTTGCAGCCACTTCATGCATTAAGAAACGGGACTGCCCAGTTAGTAAATATATTTGATCCAAAGCACAAAACATAGTATAGAGAGACTGTCTGAAGTAAGCATTTTTTATTGGATTGATATGGTGAGACAGAGACTTTCTGAAGTAAATTTACTTTTACAAAACCTCTACATGTATAATTCAGCTCTCCATTAGCATATTTGAGAGGGAAACCAACAACAGCACATACAGAGTAATGAATTTCTTCTTAAAATGTAGGGAACCGACCATTCCTGATAGAAGGGGTTCCCAGGAAAACAGGTTGCTTCCATTCTGTAAGACCATTTATTCTCAAAGCTCTGGCAAGACAAGGAGAGTTGCATCATTCTAGACGCCTACATGGGTAAAAAGCAAGGGCAATGAAACTCAAGCCCTGTACCAGCCAACAAGAGGTTTAATTTATTCTCCCAGTTTATGAGATGAGCTGAGACCTGGTTTGAAGGTATGGTCTTAAGAATCAACACCACCTACTTCAACCTACCCAAGGAGGAGATTAGCAAGCAAGCATTTTTGGAACTTGAGACTTCATCAAGTTCAGTCTCACGATACCCTAATAATACTCTACTCTCCCTCACAGGGTTTTCTTATCCCAAAGCCGAAGTGCCGCAATCCCAAGGCTAAGTAATGCAAGCACCAAAAGACAATGGATTTATGAATTCTTTGGAAGTTGGATTTCTATGCAATTTCGTGTTTTTCTCTTTTTCTCTTTAGGATGTCTTGCATGATCAAAATGGAATGGAATAGTAAAAATGTATTCTTTTTTGAAACTCCAAAGAAAACATTACATTATGAATTCATAGCAAACCATGTTATTATATGCCTTGAAGCATATTACTGTCATAATTATTAGCATCTATATAGCTAAAGTGGACACTAATGACTTTTAAATAAGAGGCATACCGGTGCTGGTTGGTGTGGCCGAATTCCTAAAATGGAGGTTTGGATGATATAAGCATTAATGCGATATCCACCAACATTGTATTCTGCCTGAAATATGAGAGTCAAAACACAAAAGTATCATTGATATATGAAATCACAATGAGCACAGAAAAAATAAAGGATAAGTGTTTTACTCTCACTATGGAGGTACTTTTGACATGACTATGAGTTCCATATGCTAAGTTTGCCTGCAAAATCCTAAGATTCATGTCAGACATCCATATCTTAGAAGAATAGCCAAAAGTAAAAATGAGGACAACAGGCATCGAAGCCTATGATACTTCTGAATTGGAAAAACAAAGTTAGACAGAAAATAGGCAAATACTTTTGTTAAGTTTTCTCAATGAATTGTAATCGGCAAGCAGGAACAAAAACTAATGGCTGAGTCACTGAGTTGAAAGTGGGACTTGAATCATCTCATTAGGATTGCCTATGATAGTGACTCACATGTTCATGACTTACAGCTGGTAGCAATTAGCAATCTATTGACGAGTAGTACTAGAATACATATTTCATTACTATTCATGGGTAGGAGTTCAAGTGCCAAAAGCCATACATGCATCACCAGGGCATTGTGAATGTTGATCCAGAATGCAAGCTTCTCTTCACGCTTCATTTTCCTTGGGTCAACCTTCTCAAGATTTCGGACCAATGACCTACATAAATCTAACATAATTTAAGAAATTCCCCAAGAACACTGCAGAAATATGAGAGGCAAAGCAACTCTGTGAAATTAGGCATCAATTTATGCATCTCAAAACTCTGATTACATTTTGTCTTAGGTATGTTTGGAACTGTTTTCTATCCTTCATGAACAATCTTAGCACACTGCATGAACTTTAAGTACTTTTTTTAAATTAATGAAATCCCTAAAAAAGAAAAAGTAGAAATAAAAAAAAATTCTCAGAGGATCATTCTGTCTTTATACTTCAGTATGCTGTCTAAGACTGTTACCTCTGTCTTTCATCATAAACCTTTCGAAAACAAGATTAGAATAAGCCACATGTTGACGCTATCCCATACATCTAATTATGCAATGAATTATTCTAGTTGAATGGATCAAATGATGGGTGTAAGTGGATTACCTGAAGTTTTGTAGCATTATGGCAGCATAATTGAAACTATCATTATCTAGATTTAATTTTGAAACCTCTATTATTGCAGCATGTGGCCCACTCTCTTCTTTTGAGCCTTGAAATTGATTGTTTCCTTTAGACGCCTCAGTATAATGAGGACTCCAACTATCACAAGGAGTTTTAGAAGAAAATATACTTGAGGAGGACAGAGATGAAACAGGAGAAGCTGACAAGCCTGCATGGGCTTGTGGGACATGGGCAAGTTTACAATAAATAGAAGATATGCATCTCACTATATGTTCAGCAAGTCTGTCGGGATTGTAAAGGTTCTTATCCATATGAGAAGCACCAAGGTGATCAGCAAGACTGCGATGACCAGAAGCAGATAATTTCTCTTCCTGCAATAGTGTAAGATAGATAACATAAAATTTCTTACAAGCCCTCAAGGATGGATAATTGGATATAGGGAATAGGCAGATGTTTTCAGAATGCATATATGCGTTCTAACAACAGTAAAGAAAGTGTGATCCTGTGCAAAGAGCAAACAAGGCAGATTAACTAAACAAAATGAGAAGCTGATGCATATTTACCCTTGCAGACGCTGCAATATTAAAACTGGAGGGACAATTCTGGTCATCTGAAACGAAAGAATCATGTGCAGGGGAAGGCTGGTCATGATTTGCAAAATCAGATTTCTGCACGCGTGGCTCCAAGTTGTGGTGCAACCCATTTGCCACAATTGGTAACAGTAATTCTGTCTCACATTCTAAATGGTTTCCAGCATTATTTGATAAGGTTGGCAGGTGTTCTTCAAAAGCTGTTCGATACAACGAGAGAAGATAACGTTCTAAATGCAAAATTTCGAGCTCAAGTACAGCAATCTCCCTCCTCAGTCTCACAGATGACTGCATTTGAGAACTAACAGCTTAGATCAAGTTAACAGAGTTCCATAGGTATTTCATTTATAGTTAAGTATTTCATCGTAGCTTGGATGGTTAAATTGACTACACGACTACTATCCTTAATACTGTCTGCTTGATATGCACCAGTTCTAACTTCTACCAAAACTAGAAATCATCTGCTTTTCTTCATACCCTTATGCTGAAGAGAAGTTCAGCAAGAAATGTTGTACCTATCTTTTATTTTATTTAGAGCCTTGGTGGATTTCTAGTAGGTAAACAAATATTTTAAAGGGAAGCCTTCTACTGTGGTATAACTTAAAAAGCATGGTCTGCCTGCATTTATGCAATCTGGAGAGAAAGGAATTGCAGGAAATATGGGAAAACTCTCCAATCCGAGTCATAACAATGAAGATCAACTGCCTATCCAATATCACAAAAAGTTCCAGTAATGAGCTTTTCTTTCAATACTGGGGTCTAAATGAACGAATCAATGACTTATGTGTTGCTATCATTTATTTTCAGTTGTTTCTAATCCCTTATATGTAAATTTAAATTTCTGTTTGCTTTCTGCTACCGCTTGCAGAAATGTTTTGTTCTAGCAAGGTAACCTAAATTTCAATCCCCCAAAAATATTATGGATTTGCATATAAAATTGGTTTCAGATATTTGTAAACTATTCATGAAATTAGAGAAAGCTCGACTGTCCGTTAAAATTAGCTTCTCATAATAGGCAACAGAGTTCAGGAGGAAAACCTTTGGCCCTGGTGTGCCATTGGAAGCAACAGATTTACTGGAGCAATAACAAACTTCTTTTCTGGAATTCCAGTGCGTTGAAGCCTGGTCAGGTAATGACCTCTCCAACAGGGCATCCTGCATCAAACAGAACAGAGCATAGCGCCATTATAAAACTGCCACAAAGTGAAACTAGCAGCATATGAAGCTAGTGACATTGATCAACCAGTGCCAAGGCAGCGAAACGTTTTACTGCTGTAGAAGCTTAGATGAAACTTGGCTTAGAATAAGTCTTAAACTTCTGTCATAAGCTAGAAGACAATACTGAGAGCATGTTGATGCCATAAGACGGGCATGATACCAAGCATTTATGTGGCAGATTAGCCCTTCAGCTCCTCAAATTAGAGGATTGCGTCCCAATTAGCCAATGTAAGATAACTTCCAGAACATAAGGTTAAGAAGTAGCTGATTTCTTGTAAGGAGGAAAGTAGTCAGGAACTGATCTTCCAGATAAGAAAATCTTTTTCTCCAATGAACACTCCACTGTCACATTCTCCATATATACTTGCTAAATTTTAGATTCTCCACCAGTCATTCCACTGGCTGCGTCCCAGAACAACGATTTCTTTAATGGAGAAACTTATGCTAGTAATTAAAAACTAAGCCACCAATGGGCAGAATGTACCAGAAAAAATAGATGGCAATTTACTTTGTTGCAGACAGGCAAAAGGAAAATTTGACAACTACTTACTGGATTAGATAACATGGATAGTCTAGGCGATATATTTAGCATACTTTGGAGATTCCCGTCGTCAAGATTTCTGCAAAGAAATTAAAAACGAATACAACAACAAAGTTAGTATGTTACTGGACAATTGTTTCGTCTACAGTGGAAGGAATGCGCAGAAAAACCTCCAAGTCTTGCATAAGCTTTACCTGGAGGAACAAAGGTGCCAAGGGGAAGGAGAAGAAGAGGAAGCGGAGCGGCCATTGGCACCTAGCATCTCCTTTTTAGTTCTGCTGTTTGACTCCAGTAAGTTAATTTGAGAGGCGAGGGCAACAAAAGAAGCAGTAAATTACTAAGAACATGTATATGGAGTAGTTGATTGAGAGTGTGTGGAGTCGTGCAGGATGCAGTCACATCACAACTTGACCCACTAATTAAGTGGGGATGGTACTGGTCGTATTACCTAAGTCAAATGCAATGCATTTCAAAGCTCCAGCTTCGGTTATTGCCAAGCTTCATTCTTTAAGCAATGGAAGCTTTTAGCACTTGGCATATATTTCATCATCTGATGGTAGAGACGACAAACAAGAAGAGATGAACAAGAGGTCAAAAAGACAGACATTTGCCAGTTTTAAGAAGTTAGACGAGTTAGGTAGGCGAAGAAAGAAACATGCAACCGAACAAGATTCATCTACACCGCATTGATTCCTTGCAACATAACTGCTCGGTCTAGAAAACAATTAATGACGACAAGGATAAATTGCTTATCCTATAGTAGTAATGACTACGAAGAATATAAACCAAAGTAATAGTAAAACAAATTAATGATTTACATCCAATATCAATGGATATAAAGATCTTACAGGAGGGGAAGAAGGAGATTAAGGTAAACACTAACAGGATCTCAAACAATGGCCATGGTCCATGGAGTGGGGTCAAGACAACGCACCCCGAAGGGTCGAACTGGGTATTTAGAAACAGCAATTATGAGTCATATGAGGTGACCAGGGAGAGCAACTGTTTACATCATGATTAAAGTGACGAGACAAATACAGAATCCTCATTAGATATTGAGATTAGGTGGAGGAAAGTAAGCAGTTATGATTACGACTTTGCTGAAAAGGTATTGGCTCTGTCCAACTCACTCCATTGTTAAACCCCGGCAATCCGCATGCCAAGTCCAACACATCAACAAATTCATCTGCCCTGAGACACTCTGCACCTAAAATTTATATAATTCATCTGAAGCAACCAAGTGAAGATAATTAATCAATTAATCCATCTGCCCTGCGACTCTCTGCACCTAACATTAATAAATTCATCAAAAGCAATCAACTGAAAATAATTAAACAAATAGTGCTAAGATGTAATTAATGCTAGTATCAACGCCACCCCTAAGTCAATTAATCATCCCTGGCCATGGGCGGAGTTTCAAAGAAATACCACCTTCCCACCCTGATTGATCATTATTGCTGTCAGGACTGAGGAGCAGTTTTCCATGAATTAAAGTAGAGAAAATCTTTTACATTTATTTCTTTATTGGATGAACTAAAGTTGAGATTTCTAAATCTGATTTCTTTACTGAGGCTTACTGAATTACGTCTATATCTGCAATAAACATAGGGGACCCTGGTAGCGAATCCGTGATAAATATCCCCATTGAAATCTTCAATACTCCCCTATTGTTGAAGTCACCCTGGTTTGGATAAAATTTACTATAAAAAATTCAGCTAATACTAAAAAAATAGTTTTAATTTGGATCAATGCATAAATTTACATGTACTGTTCATTTTTTTATCAACTTAATTTCAAAATAATTATAACTTAACACTATTTGAATTTAATTTATCTAAAAAGCTGTTCCTCCTTGAAAAAAAAAGCAGCATATAGCTTCTCAAAATAACTGCAATTTTCCCTTTTGTGTCATTGAACAAGAGAATAACTACTGCATACAGTAATAAAAGAATGGTTTTTACTCCGGAGACTTGGGCTTGCAAAGTGCAAACTCCTTTGCTCCTTTGATTATAGATTATAGAAAAACATACAGACTACATTACTTGAAAATAAGAAGAAGATTCAAGAAAAAAGAAATTGCATTAAGTCTCAAGGTGGTATCAGGCTAAGTGTCAGCTTTGACATATTCTGATCTGAGGCTTCTGCCGTGGGGGCAAGAAGTAAATGAGGAGCGAGGAAGGAGATGGTTCAGGGTTCAGGATTACATGCAACAGAAGCTGGCGAGCTAAGCGGCAGAAAAACTTTAATGGGCCTAGGCCTGGTTTCTAATTCTAAATTAAGAAAAAAAGTTGGGCGGACGGCACTGGGCGGTCTCTTTCAATCATTAAAAGCGTGGGCCGAAAGCGTTTTACACTGATTAGAGTGTGGAATATTGTGTTGCATCTGCTTCAATTTTGTTTTGGGGGAGGGGACATTGATCTGCTTCAGTTATTAGTACCAAAATTAATAGGCAAACCAATGCCTTGTTTTGTCTCTGTACGACACACTACTACTACAACTCTTGAAGCATTATGCCCTTGTTGTATCCTGTTGGCAAACACACCTAGTTTGGGTCGGGTTTTTTTATGGTTTTTTACCCAAAGGTCCATATCCCACAAGGCCCATCAAGTTTTTCACTCACGCCACTCACTTCAACTTCCAACATCCCTTCCGCCTCTTCTTGCAGGCCCCGAGATCGGGCCGACGGGTCCGCTAGCGCTTTAATGTTATCAAGGCATGCAGCAGTGAGCAGTCCATTATGGGTTTGCGCCTGAAGACTGCAGTGTGTGGATATCCTACTATTATGTAGATTGATTAATTAGGAAGCAAATCCGTCTAATAAAATAAAACAAATGGTCAAATTCATGGGGAAGAAGGAATCAGGGAATGAGAGGCGCCGAGACAAAAGAGGAGGTGGTGGGTGGAGCCATTGTGTTGGGTAGATAGTCCACTCGTGTGCATGTCCATATTAAAACGAATATATATAATAATAGAAAAAATCTTATCCACCTTTTTTTCCATATGCCCAAAGCCAAACAAATAGGACTCTTTTTTTGGTAGGGGACACAAATACAAAGCAGTCACTCCTTTGCTGGCACTCACCATATACATGTAAATTAAAATAACCCAATTATTAAAGGGCCAGTCAACAGTCAAATCCTCAATATATTGTTTGATTCCTTGGATTATGTATGGCTCTCAGTCTCGGAGGAAGAAGAAACCGAAAACAAAGTTCCTGCCCTGGAGGACAGCTCAGCTGAATTCATGTGTTGCTTCTTTCATCCTTTTTGTGTCGCAATGAATGAATGCCATACAATTAAAATCTTCACCTCCCCTGCAATGCCAGTGTTTGTCCAATCGGTACACAGCCTTTCGTTTGGTCTATTTTCACGTTATACTTTCGTTTTCTCGCGATTGCCCCGGGACCTCATGCATGTTCCGAATCAATAATGTCTCAAAACAGCAAAGCAACAGTCAACCAAAGTCCAAAGACTTGAGGCATATGATCCAAAATGCCAATGCCGAGGGATATATTAATTAAGGGCATAACTAATTAGGCTGGCTAAACTTGGATTATATGCTACTATATCATAGATTGATATACATATGGCCTTTGGGATATCGTAATTCTTGTCCATTAAGCCCATATCTTGATTCATGTGATTGTTTCTAAATGGGGTGTCATACTGTCATCTGTCTTCAAGTGCAATGACGCAGTGGCAGTCAGCAAATGCAATGCTTTTTCCTCTTAAATCATCCATGCCCTGGGGCACCCCTTGTCTCTTGACGATTCTAATTTTGATTGATCCCATTTGTCACCCCCCTGCCCACGCAAGTTTACCATTTCTATAACCACAACAATTTTCTAATCCTAATATATAGGACTAGCTATGTTTGTGTTGATACAAAAAATATTTATCTTCTTAAATTAATAACTATATATGATTTATATACAAATTAAACATATTAAATACAAATCAATGATACATAGATTGAATCAATGACAGAGATCTTTCATTAACTCCGATCAAAATCTTCCAAATAAATCATAATTAAATGAGAGTGATGTATTTAATATCCAAAAGAAGACATGTTTCATGACCTTATAACAGCATTATGTCATTTGTGTCGTTGAAATGCACCAAATAATGGTTATTATCTCATTAAACTTGTCGCATACCAAAATGGATAAAAATTGTATAATTAGGTACTAAGAAAATTAAACTTGCATGTTCAACATGTTGGTTCTCTTTAAGTTGACATATCTTTAAGTAGAAGATAGCTAGCAGCGCACTGCATAACCAAGAGAAGAAGCAGTACTTGTCATGATGTTAGGGCTGGATTAGGAAAGTAATTATACAAATGTATATGATCTGTATGACTTAATCTTGATTTGTGTGTCTGTGTGTGAAGACATAGATCTTTTAATCTTTTTACCTTTTTTATGGAAGAACTAGATTAATCTTGAAAGATAAGGGAAGGATGAGGGAATTAGACAAGCAAATACATGAAACTTGGAACTATATATATATATATATATACTACTTAATGACTACAAGTGACAAGAAGTAAGAATAAATCATCCTATAATTCAGCACAGCCCGGTGGGTTGGGTTTAAAACTTTTGAGTGGAAATGATATATATATATATAATTCGTAGAGGTGTCATGATCTCAATAGAAATATGCTGAGCTCCTGACCAGTGCTACCCACTGGGTTAAGCATGTGAAATGACTCGGAGTCGGCTGAGCCAATGACCCTTTCGAAACTAGCTCGCAGATACATGAGGTCCCCGTCCTCCTCGGACGACTTCGGCGAAACCGGCAAAACTCCAGCACCCACCGACACAGACTGCATGAGCTTAAGCACCGCCGCATCATTGACGCTCATCTGCCTCCTTATGGCAAATCCCACCTTCCTTCCATTGCAGTACATGGACCAAACGGGCACGTTATAGAGCGAGCAAGGGCTGCTGCATCTATTTTCTTTGTGCTTGTCGCATTCCAGCGCTATCCTCAGCAGACCGTACTGCATCTCTCTGGCAAGGTATGCGGTGGGGACAGCGAACTCCAGTAGCAGAAGAGGAGAGCTTCGCGTGTCATCCTGGAGGCAGAAGCTCACACGGCCCTTCCTGTATCCAAAGAAGGTTCCTGTCACCGTTGAACTTGAGCCATGGGTTGATTCCGTGTCGCTGGAGACTGAGTCTGAAGGTTGGAAGCCGCAACAAGGGACCATGCATTCCACCAGAGACCGGAAAGATCGGCGGAACCTAACTTCCCTGCCACACTCCACAGAGGTTGCCGTGTCCATTATATTTATATGGAGAGGCCCTCTCTGGCTCCCGAGGTCTATCATCATCCTCATCTTTGGTGTAGCTGCCTGCACAAATAAAAATTAAGGCCAAAAATATTCTAACAAAAAAGAGATGGCCGTCGACAGTAGGAGAAAGACGTAAAGATAGATAGCATAGACGACAGGTAGTAGTAAGTAATTAGCTTTGTAGTAGTAGGAGTAGGTGAAGGAAGCGGAGGGGAACTGACTGGAGGTGTGGAGAATTTCAAGGCAATAAATAAGCAAACCAAAAGCAAAAGAGAGCAAAGGGAGCAAAAGGTGCGTGGGAGTGGGCTCAGGAATCGTGGGCAATAATTCTGCCCACGAGGGGTGAGAGGGGCCCATCCTTGGATGGTGGTGCGCGTGATTGCGAAAGCTTTCACAAACTTTGATCCGACCTCTCAGCCTGTTGGATTGCGAAAGTATACCAGACTTAATGCACCAATGTGATTTGTATCCAGTTACCATTCCATTGATTTTCTCAGGTAGTCACAATTTTAAGCTGATTGATTTAGGCCCTTGCACGTGTCCCTACTCCCTAATAATTCAACAAACAACACCATTCCCAATTCCTCTTCTAGATGATTAATTGCTGTATCTATTATTGTACATATATGATTGTAATTTTTGCTCCTTTACACTATGGACGAGGCCTGTTCCCATTAGCCGATACAGATTCCCATCCATTTGAGCTGTGTTAAAATGTCCAACTCCTAATTAATTAAATCATTAGGCACCTACAAGCTAAGACAATCGGCCAGTGCACGTACAAGAAAAGCCTAGGTTCTTCCAACAACAACAACAAAAAGGTTGACAATTTACCGCTGGTTGTTGAGAGCCCAAAATAAAATAAAAAAGGAAAAAGAAAAACAAGGGAGAGAGAAGGTTCAACTCTTCAATTAAAGTGGGTGGGCTACAGTGGAAGGAATAGGATAGCATGCATGACCATGAGCATGCACCAGGCAATGATTAGACCCTATCAGTCCTGCCTGTCCCAAGCTTTTGCAACCCACAGTCCACAGATACCGACCCCGCCAATGTCATTTAGTCCAAAGCTTATCTTAGGATAAAAATTGGAGTCTTAATTAATTAATATCATGTTAAAGTACTCTACTTATACTCTTAATTAAAGCATACCTATATATATATATATTAATAGATTTTCATTCGATGATCAACGTCTTGGATTAAATTAAATGTTTGATTTCTAATTGAAACATATGTGATATACTCCCTGGTATAGTTACAATTTTGTAATGCATAATTAAGTTGAGATCCATGAAACAAATTAAAGGTACACTAATAACTATTCCTTGTTTTCGAAAGATGAAAAGAGTAGCGACTGTTGAAAACTTTTTATCTATGCACATGCAAAACTTTGTCTACAAGTTTAGCAACAATATCCATCTTTCCCCCTTTTGTAAGTTTGTCGTGGACGAGACGGCTCATGTGGCAGTGTTTCCATCCAGTGCTCAAATTAAATATATAATAGCCTTGTAAAAAGCACTGAAAAGCTAATTAGGTTAATTACTCACTGAAATCACTGCGCCGAGTACTTTTAAATTCCCCACACCCACATATATATAGGCATGCATTCAGCGCTGGCAAAGCAAAAACCCTTCTTTTTTTTTTTTTTACACCCTCCTCAGATCCCTGTGTGTGGTGCCTGTCTGGTTCTGCAGTGCATAATTGGGTGGTATTTTATATCAATTGATTACTTTTTCATGTAACAAAATCAAAGTTGCTTTTATGCTTATCGTGAAAAAGATGCCGCATAAGACATCAAACATGGCATGATTAATGTTTGGTCAAGAAAATCAAATTAAATTAAATTCAATAAAATAACAAGAAATTAATATTAAATTAATAATTCTTTATATATATATATATATATATATATATATAAAGCAAAAGAATAACAAGTTGGAAGAGGCATAAGCCAAAATGGGAAATGCATCCACCCGTCAAGACATGTATGAAATGCTTTTGGGTCCCCCCACACCAATAGAACTAGGTTTTTGCACGATTTCATTCCATCCTCACCTTTGTTATATACTTTATTCAATAATGGATGCCATATTTTTTCCAATTTGGAATCACAAACTTCCAAAGGTTTGTGTAATTACAATTAATTTTGACAAGTGTAGTAAGAAGAATGAACTCCTCCAATGGATTCCCTTGGAGCAAAACGTGCACCTTGCTCTCTAGGACAGACCGGCTACATGTTTGTGTCGAGTCATACCTGAAAGAAAACAAAATATTACATCCACTATCGTCCTCTTTCCTTTACACGAAAGCTAAAAGCTAGTTAGCCCTTTAAAAGCAAGGCTAATTGACCTGCTCACCTAACCCAAACAACATCAGTTAAACAGATGAGGTAGCTAGCCCTTTAATTTGTCTCAGTTATTATAATGAGTCGCAATCATGTGTTATGCTCCGAATCCATATGTTTTGCAGTGATCTATTATGACTGCATGTGTTAATTATGAGGCTTAGGGTAAAGCCATGCATGAATGTCTTTTTTTTGGAATAAATGAAAGCAATCAGTATCATTGAACTGCTAAGCAATATTAAAGTTCTGTTAAACCGAAACCAAATTGCCATCTGGGCATATTTATACAAGAGGAAAGATACTTTTACAAGGGTTGGCTATTCATATCAAGAAAGGCTTTTATGTATATAGTACACGAAAGAAGGAATATGATCCACTTTTCTTTTGGATTTTCAATTAAGGAAATTGCTTTTGCAACATGCTTTTCCACTCCCTTACAAAACAAGATATCAACTTAACTTTTTGATTGTGTATGATTAGTGCTAATCAGCTGAGCTGATCGCACATATATCCCATGATTAGTGGAGAAGGAAGTAATCTTTCTACCCCTTCTCTCATCTTCCACCTTTTAGAATGAATGCAAGCAATCTTGTTGGCTGCTGATAATAGTTATTAACTCGATTTCTTTCCTTACTGCAATGATTCATATTTCTTTACGTACCTTGTGATGCTTTAAGATGAATCAAGTCCGGGCGGATGGGCAATATGACAATAACTTAGCGCAGGAGAAAGTGGATTAGATGGATGAAGAAATTAGCAAGATCTGCAGGCGATACCAGCTGGCTGTAAATTATGACCACTCATGCCGTCAGAATGTGGCACAGAGACACAGAACACTACTCTATGAGAGTGACATATATTCTCACACAGCTAAGGGCAAGGGGGACAGTCACAGTTTTTGCTGTAAAAGTTGACAATATCTCGACCTGTTCACTAGGGTCGTCAATGAGAAAGTGGCAAACCTGTCGGGGCACATATCATCATTTTAGCTTGTACCTAGCTAGGTCGACTTTCTTTTAGTGTGTGAATTGTAGCTAGGTCGATTCGATGCTAAGCAACTAACAGCATTTCAGTTCCAAGACCAACTCCATTCCATTGCTCCTATCATGACTGAAACCAAAAGCCTATGTCCCAGGAAATATGGTTGCCGCAGAAATATTTCCTTAATTTACAGTCTCACTGGGAGAGAGCATCACATCACTCCTTTCCCCAAGCATTGGCCCTGAATCTTCAAAAGAAGCTAATAATTATATATAGGTAAGTTTTTACCTTTTTTTAGTTAGCTAGCCTAATATTTTGTCAACTCTTTACAAGCAACCAAAAGAGAACACTGATAAATGAAAAGCATCCACATACTTGACAAAATCTTGGGAATACTTTTCTTGCATCTGAAGACCTGAGCAGCAAGTGCAATCAGGCTTCAGCGTGGAGTTTAATTCTCACCTCGCGGGTTAGATTTAAGCGTTTAAAAGGCCGAGGATTTGGGAGGCCAACTAATATTATGAGTCCTGAAGCAAAGTTGGACTATTTCTAGCTTTAGCCCAAACTTGTTCTCTATCATGGACAAGTCCATTAGCCCGTTAACCATTAGACCACAATAAATATTACTATAAAATTTGGAAGTCAAGATATATAGAAAGAATACGATCTAGCTGCGATCCATCCAAATTTCTCCGTAATGAATTTTACGCCTAACGTCTCTCGATTCCCTTTACGTGTCTTTTATTAAGATTTTCATAAATATTCAAACACAAGCACAACAGTCAACTAAATCAGCTCCAAGAATTTTCAAAATTGATCATCACTTTTTAATTCATACATTAAATCAATGACTCATTAAACATTCAAATCATATTCAAACGTATAATATGCATTCAAACATATTATATACATATATATATGTTTTACGCCAAAGCTAAACATTAAGCGAGATTTTATTAAATTATATGTTTGTGAAGCAAGTAATCTTTGTTAGAAAAGTTATATTATAATACATTAAAATTTGTTTCAAAAACACTTGAGTATTTAATTCGTTGGTTAGTACATGATTCTTTATTTAGAAAGTTTGATCTAAATCTTTTTTCTTAATTTAATTGAAAAAACTCAAAAAAAGTTTGTTTGAAAAGAGGGCGGGGATCATATTTCAAACAATCTTTGTCAAACTCTATCCCTTTCTCATTAATCATCCATTAATGGAAGTGTTGACCAAGATTGTATACCATACATGAAATAAGAGGCTTCAATTTCGTAGGTAAATATTATTGCTATACCAATCTGTGATTTTAAAAGTATTGACTTTGAAGGAAGTGTCACATATATCAGGGGCTTTGCTTTCTCTTTATCACAATTTATTTTTTTTTTAAAAATAGTTTTATGGTTAAAATCGACTAAATGAATAAATAATTTTCAAAATTAAAATTTATAGATTGTTAGAATTAAACGAGAAGATCATTTCTATAAACAATTAATTAAAAATATCATTTATACATAGAGTTTGATTAAAATTTATTGAAGGGTGAAATTTTTGTCCAAATTTTCAATAAAAATATTTATTTAAATAAAGTATTGAACTATATCCAAATTATTTGAAATTTGTATCCTTAATCTATGCAATAAGGTCTCTCAATCTATCCATTTAGATTTTCAAATTTAAGTTTTGTTTGATCCCTTTTTAATTCCCTCTACGTGTCTTTTATTTAGATTTTTGTAGACAGTCAAACACTTGCACATTAATCAACTAAATCATCCTAATAAATTTTCGAAATTGATCATAATTTTTCAATTCATATATTAAATCAATAATCCATTTTTTATCTAAACATTCAAATCATATTCATACATATATATAGGTCAAAATTAAAAATTAAGTTAAATTTTGTTAAACTATATATTTGTGAAGCAAGTAATATTTGTTAGAAAAACTATACTTTAATTAATATGTTAAAGTTGTTTAGAAAAGGGTGGCCATCATATTTCAAACAATCTTTCTCAAGCTTCGTCCTTGTCTCAATCATCAATTAATGGAAGTATTGACCTAGATTATCATGCATGAAATTAAGCAACTCCACTTTCGTTGGTAAATATTATAATAATAACGATCTGTGATTTTAAAAGCATTGATGTTGAAGGAAGCATCACATATTTCACGTAGGGGGTTGCTTTCTTTTTACTGTAAATTTATGACCAAATTTAAGCAAAGTTTTTTCATGTAAAGTATGAAATTTTTCATTAAAATCAATTAAATAAAAAACAACTTCGAAAATTATAATTTATGGACTGATAAAATTCAATGAGAAGAACATTTACATAAAAAATATTTGAAAATATCATTTATAAAAAAAATTTGGTTAGCATTTGTTGAATGGAAAAAATTTTGTCAAATTTTTTAATCAAAGTATTTATTTAAATAGAATATCAAATTATATCCAAATTATATTTGAAATTTGTATCCTTAATCTATGTAATAAGATATGACTCCAATATGTCAAACAATAAGAGATGGAGAAGGAGAACATATGAAAGGAAAAACACTGACTGCCCATGCACTCTCTATTTTACTACATAAGATATGAATAAGGAATCTTTCTTGATGTATATAAATCTATGAATATCGATGAAAATAGATATATTTAATTATTATATTTTTAAATTATCATTTAAAAAATTTGTTGATTAACAATGTTAATAAGATTTATTTAATTTGACAAAAAAAATATTCATTTGAATATAATTTATGAATTAAAATGATAAAATTTTAATTAAAATGCTACAAGTATTTATATTTAAAATTAGTAACATTGATATATAACTATAATTTAAAAATAAAAACTAAACACATAAAAACAAAAAGAAAAGTAAGTAGTGTGGTAATATTAACATGAAATAATATTACAAATTCTAAAAATATATATTGGACGGTAGTGAGGTGGTCAACCAAGAACACAAAGTGACGCGACATCACATGGGACAACAGTAAGGGTAAAATAGGAAAACAGAAAATGTTAGTTCCCATTCGGTCCGCGTGGATTGGTTTCAAACGCATCCGCTTTGCTGCTTCTGGATGCCTCCAGAATCGGCGACCACTCGGCAATTTCTGCCTTTGGGTTTGGAAACTTGTTTTCGTAAAACCAAGACACACCGCTTCTTCTTTGTTCCTTCTTCCCGTCTTCAAATTAAACAAAGAGGAAGACGAAGATGGACAAGTATGGGTGCGGAACAGCAACAAGGATTAAAGCTAAAAGTCAAGAATATATATATGAAGGTTGGGGACTTGAATGATTGTAACGGAAATTGTAAATGAAAAGCCATAATGAGCCTGAAAAATTATGTGGCATTGAACCTCAAAATAATAGTAATTTAGAAAATTGGAACTCACAGTTTTTTAATTTTATACAGGAAACGTTTGAATACTAGTAGGTTACAAAAATCAGTGCTTGGATTAAAGTTTTGGCGCTCATGAAGGTGATTCCGGGCAGAGATTACAGAACGGAGCCTTCGTAAATGGTGGACAACCTAAGCCTAAAAGAACGAACGGCCAATTTGGCTCGTCTAGAGGTATATCTATGCAAATTTCGAATGGAAGCAGATCTTGAAAACCGAGGCTGAGGCTCGGCGAAGGACTTGGGTGCTGTAGGTGCATCATCTTTGTCAACAACAGGAAGAGATTGAGCTACGAGCAAAACAGGAGAAATCCGGGCCTTTTTGCGGCAATGGGATTCGTTTTTAGAGGCATTTTGGATGGCAACGCTGGCTTTGACGGCCAAAGCGGCCATGTCCTTGGAGGTCAAGCGCTGCTGAAGCTTGGAATTGGGAAGCACGAAGTATATTTGATTCGTTTGCAGCTGGTGGTCGATATCCAAGGCCGGAATGTAATCATCGTAATACAATCGGTCAGAATTGCAGAGGAAGATGGCAGAGGATGGCAACGAGGAAGACGATGAGGAAGACGCAGCAACTTCGGCCTGGAGAACGTGAGAGACCAACACAGGAATGTTATATTTATGAAGATCGCCGTTGAGGGAAACAACTTGAGCAGTTGGGGGCCCCGCAGATTCAGACAGTGCCGTTCGAGAATTCAAAGAGAAGCAGGTTCCCATGGATGAAGGAGTTCCAGGCTGTTGGTAGCCTTAGTTAATTAAGCCTTTGCTCTCAAGCTGCAGGTACTAGCTAGGTCGACAGTTTGAGAAGCAGAAAAGAAAAGGGGAGAGATTTGGAATCTGGAAGCAAAGAGGGGAGACAGAGCTGTAGGGATATTAAAAAGAGTTGAATCATGATTTATGTATGAACGAGAACGCACGTTTGTTAATGGTGACGTAAGCGAAGCCGTCACGCGGGGGGACGAAATTCCGTTGGAAGTCACGGTTGTACTTTTCGAACAAACCGGCGAACAGCTGACAGATGATGACTTTGGGGTGGCGTCAGTTAATTTTTGGGCTTTCCCAACGTTGACCTTGACTTTCGGGCTTTGCTAATTGCTAGTTTAGTACAACTACTAATTAAAGTATCAATTAACCGAATCAAAACATATAACCGAGCCCGCAGTCCTGACTCAGCAGTGACGCATCGGGCGAGTCCAAATCCAATCACGGACCTCGACTGTTGTTGGAGTCTGAACGAGATGACTTGAGCTACAAGCAGAGGACTTTGGCTACGAGCCGTAACTAATGTAGTACAGTGTTGTTCAAACTCCCCCGCTCTGACCGTCCACAACCAGCAGCTGTCCCCATTTTATGACAAGTCAATATTTATTTATTGCTATATATATATATATAACTATATATTTGGTCCATAGAACATGGGAGGAGGAGATAGGGGAAAGCAATTAAAACAGAATAAAAACAAAATCACTGGATTAAACCTGGTTTCAGTATCCATTAGTTAGTGCCTTAATGGCATGTACCAAATCTGCTCTACCTTTTCACTAGATTGTTCCATGTGAATGTGTATTCCATCATTGGCTTCTATCATTTTCATACAGCAGCGTGTTACAACAACTTGTTCACTGAATATAAATGTCAATTGGGTTGTGTCAGCCATCCGAAGACTACTATGTTCAACTCTTATCATGCAAAAGAAGTAGCTACAAAAAGTTTACGTGTCATGCACCCATCATCCCCGTTCGAAATGGAATGATGAAAATTTCAGTTGATTTTACGGTTTCTTCAGCTATGCGTAAGCAACAAAGAATACCTGAAGCCCCACGTAATCGATGATATATACATGTCTTATTGACTCAAGCAAAGAAATTACCAAGTATTTTCCATGGATGGACGGCCGCAAGAAACCCCCACCCCCGCCTACCCTACGAGGTTTTGACGTGATTGCTGCTGACTACCATTTTTTGACAAAAACGTATAGGAGAACAGTGGCAATGCTTGTGAAGTGGTTCTGGGCATAGAGCCCAAACTAGGTAGCCACTTTGCAGGTATTGATGGGCCTAAGTCCTTAACCATTGAACAATGGAATGCGCCCAAGCCCTAAACTTTAAAAAACAAATTTTCAATCACCCAGATATAGCAAGGATTTTCCATTTGCCCCTTTCCCCTTTCCCCTATCCTTTCTTTGCTGATAAGGTACTTGGTTTTCTCTTTGCGTCTTTCTTGCCTGTGCTTTTTTCTTCTTCTACTTGATCTCGATTAGCCTTTTAAGTCACAAGAAGACCACCAAGCATAAGTGGAAAAAGAGAAAGAATGAACAACAAACAATGAATCAAGAATGAGAAAGTGAAGATCCTTTAGCTTTTTTTAACATAGCCATAGCCAGATCCGGCTTCATTGTTTACTCAAAAACTTCATTTTGACTTCTAGTGTTGAGGTCAGAATATTGAGGTCTTCGAAGTCAGCATGTTAATGAATATTAATTTGGGAAAAATACAACAGCATCGCATACAGAGAAAAAGCACAGTGTAGAAACCAAACACAACGTTAGCAAGAGTTTTCCTAGATTAAATAGTTTTTTCTTCTTTTTTTTTTAAAAAAAATTGTGAAAGAGAAATTTAAATTCTCTTTGCACATATATATTATCCATCTCTTCATCCTGATGTTTATTTAGGTTTGGCACAAAAACTCAAAGTCAAAACAAGCTTAAGAATATAAAAATTCATTGAATTTCATAAATAAACATAAAATTTGTCAAATATTTTATTAAAATATATTTTATAAAAATAAACTTAAAAGCACCTTATCAATAAAATATGACGACATGTCTGATGCCAGACCAACAATTGCACGAACATGTTGTTGGCAAAACCCGTCCTTTTCCCTTATCAACAACTGCCAGCCCCTTACGACTCTACAATTTTGTAATGTTTCACTAACCGTATTAATTTATTTAATTAAATTTTATATCAATTCTTAACATTTTAAATCAACAACATATTGAAAATAAAATGAAAAAAAAATCAAAGTTTAAAGATATTTCTTGTGCTAATCGTTCCCGGCAGTGGATAAATTCTGCCCCAATCCATCTCAGTACCGAATAAACGTGTCGAGGCAAGAGCGGGGACAGGTGGAACGTGGCACTCCCTCGCTGATCCCCTAATTATTTCAGGATGAAGGCATACCTAAGCATCTAGCAGACAGACAAAGACCGGAGTTGAGGTTGCAGATATGTCTCACACTTTCGAAAAGTCGCCAAACACTTGAGTTTGACAGAAGCCGCAACTGTCCTTAGCCACATATATATATATATATATA